TTGTGTGTGTGTGTGTCTGTGAGTGTGTGTGTATGTGTATGTGTGTGTGTGTGTGTGTGTGTGTGTTTGTGTGTGTGTGTCTGTGTGTGTGTGTGTGTGCGCATGCGTGCGTGTATGTGTGTCTGTGTGTGTGTGTGTGTGTTTGTGTCTGTGTGTGTATGTCTTTGTGTATAAATGTGATCCACTGCGTGTCGTTAAAGTCAAAAATATGATACATACTACATTATAGTCCATTATGATGAGAGAAGCAGCTGTTGGAAATTAATCAAATATTAATGAATGCTTCCTGTGGAGTCTGTTTAAATATCTTTGCGTTATTTATAATGTGTGTATGTGTATGTGTGTGTGTGTGTGTGTGTCTGTGTGTGTGTGTGTGTGTGTGTGTTTGTGTCTGTGTGTGTATGTCTTTGTGTATAAATGTGATCCACTGCGTGTCGTTAAAGTCAAAAATATGATACATACTACATTATATTACATTATGATGAGAGAAGCAGCTGTTGGAAATTAATCAAATATTAATGAATGCTTCCTGTGGAGTCTGTTTAAATATCTTTGCGTTATTTATAATGTACGGTCCCTTATAATGGATATTTTACAGATGATTTACAGTGTAATGTGTTGATGTTTGACGCCTGTGGTTTTGGTTTTCACACACGAGGCTTTCTGAATGTTTATAATGCTTTATGAATGTGCTGGCTTCACAGGAACATGAGTGAAGGTTTAAGATGAACGAATGTAGGATGAGCCGAATCTCTCATACACACACACACACACACACACACACACACACACTCGTCTGATGATGTAATGCTTCCTGTCTGAGTGTGTGTGAGACTCAAATGGACACGCGCTGCTGTAACTTCCTCAGGAACTGGAAGTGTCACGTCTGGAGATGTCTTTCTGTAGGATAATAAGATGAAGGGAACTGAATCAGCAGCATGAGTGAAACAAGCAGACAAACTAATAGAAAAGTGATTTTGTCATTTAAATAAGACAATATTCTGATCATTTGAGAAAAATAAAATATAAACATTTTATATATACACTGCCGTTCAAAAGTTTGGGATCAGTAAGACTTGAGTAAAGAAGTGTCTTATGCTCATCAAGGCTGCATTTATTTGATCAAAAATACAGAAAAAAACTGTAATCTTGCTAAATGTTATTACAATATAAAATAATGGTTTCTATTTTAATACACTTTAAAATATAATTTATTTCTGTGATGCAAAGCTGAATTTCCATCATCATTACTCCAGTATAAAGTGTCACATGATCTTCAGAAATCATTCTAATATGCGGCTCTGGGACTCTGATCACTGTTTGGTTCATTTTCTACCAGCCTACAAGCAGAAAATTAAATTTGCTAAGCCTGTAGTGAGGTCTGTAAAGAGATGGGCTAATGAAGCAGAGCGGGATTTACAAGCCTGCTTCGACTGCACTGATTGGAGGGTTTTTGTAGCTGCAGCCACTGATCTGAACGAGCTCATCCTACATCAGTTTCTGACTTATTTAACATGCAAAACTCATATTATATAACCTCATATTAACCCTTTAACTGTCACCCCCCATTTTTTTTAAATAGGCATGCAGGTGCACTATCCAAACTTAAATTGTTGTAATTTATGAACACTTTGGAATACAGACATAAGGTTGGTCTTAAGGTTGGTTTTTAAAGAAGAAAATCAGCAGATTATCGCAAAAGTGGAATTTTTTCAACAAATTTAAGTATCAAAAAGTTATAGTAGTTTAAATTTACTGTAAAGAAAATGCACTATATTAATTTTATTTTATATATAATAAATATTTTACATATCAGGTTTTACTCAAAAATTGGTATAAAAGTATAGCCTTATGTCTAAATAAGTTATGTTCCAAATTTGAAGTTGATATGAAAAAAATGGAGGTTCCTGTGAGATTTTATTTAGGGTGTTATACCACAAACAGCCACCGGGTGACACCCAAACTCCATTGCATTTTTTTAATGCATTTTTCTGTCACAAATGTCTAGATTTCTCTGTCAATATTACTTCTATAAAAAAGCACCAACTATGGAATCCAGAGACTCAGACCTTTCCAATGATATGTTTTTTGTCAAGATTATAAAAAGTTTTGATTCTAAAAGAACGTAGTGCATTTTGTAATATGACTCTTGACACCGCCCACTAAGGGGGAGGAGACCGCCAAAAGATTTTAAAGTACCATTTCTATGGTAACGCAATGTCTGATTTCGAAATGGGTGAATCTTGGGCTTCTAAGCTTTCAAATGACATATGATTTATGATGATTACTAAAAGATTTGATAGAGAATAAAGACAACAACAAAAAAGAGCGCCAAACGTCCCGTATAATCCAGTTTCTGTTTTCTACATTTAAATTCACACCCAGCCCAAATTTACACTTATAAACTCATGATCGTGGCGTGAAGTTATTTATTAACTTATTATAATAATTCCACAGATTGATAAAACTCTTGTAGTTGTTTCTGTGGCCTGGAGTGAAACTGTGCGACGAGTCGTCTGTTTTTACATCTTCATCATCATCATCATCATCATCGCATACAGTGCAGGCTCACATTAGTCCATCCATCGGGTGTCAGAAGAGTTCATGCATATTTAGTTCCAGAAACACTAACTCTCTGCTGGTAATTGCAGTCAATTGTAGGATTTGAGATATAAAGCAAAGCAGTCATGAATAAGCGATGAGTCGATCGATCATAATACAAGCCCATGATTAGGCAGGAATTAATTCTAATACTCGAGCAGCAATCGAAACAACGAATATAGAGCGCGACTCACGTCTATCGACATGTGCCTTATCTGAATATGTAATATCTAACCTGTCATGAGAAAAGAAAGGGCTTGAGTCATGTTTCATGACTTGCTGCTTCATTTATGTTCATTTAAGTTTTATTGCCTCTGCTTCTGCATTTCATGAGACAATAAGTCACTTTAAAGTTGATTTAGTCTCTTTGTTCTTATTTTAGATTGGATGAGTGTGAAGGCTTGACAAGAGATTGGGTTGTTGTTTAAAGATGCATATGAAACCACATTTTTAACATTATTTATAAAGAAATGATGTACGTTAATAATCATTTCAGTAAATGTGCTTAAATTTGCCAAAAGGCTCATTTTCATCAGCAGTCGCTTTTGCATGATGTTATTAGAAAATAAGAGAGTATTTATGTTAATATGCATTTAAATTAAGTATCACTGTAACTTTAGCTAATTTTGCTCAATGCACAACATATTTATAGCACCATTTTTATATATATATATATATATATATACTCCTGATTATTCTTTAAACAAAATGTTTAATGTTCATTGGAATTAAATAATTTTATATTGTTATTGTTTGTATTTTGAATCTATTTCATGCATATCTCTTTAAATATTAAAAATGTTTTATTTAATATTCAGTTATTAGAATAAAATTTTATGTTCTAGTGTTTTGGAAAATCTTTAGTCTAATACATATCTTTAAAAAATAAAAATTTAATATTCAGTTATTAGAATTCAATTTAATCTAATTTTAGACATATTTAAAAAATAATAATATTCAATTGTATATTCTAATATTTTCAAATGTGTTTATTTAATTTCATGCATATTTGTTTAAATTAAAAAGTTTTATCTAATATTCAATCATTTTAAATTATAGGCTGTTTAAATGTTAAAATGCAATTTTTTAAGTTTTAAATTTTATATTCAATAATTAGAATTAAATTAGAATAGATTAGAATTATCATTTGAAATTATTCATGCATATTTTTTTTAATGAAAATGTTTTAATATTCAATTATTTGAATTAAATTGTGTTTAATATTATAGTATTTGTAAAAAAAAATTCAATATAATTTCTGTTTTTTTTCCCCTGTGTTTTTCCTGGCAGCGCTCCGGTGTCTCTGTTCCCGTCGGACAGCATCTATGAGGTTTCTGCTCCAGAGGTGGACATCCAGAGCCGCGAGGTGTTCGAGTGTCACGTTCAGACGGGTCGTGGCTGGGTCAGGACTCTTTGTCAGGAGGACGTGCTCATGTACCGCGAGTACATCAAAAACAGATACATGTGAATGTCTCCAAACCATTCAGATCCACTGATGGAAAATGGTTGAATTATTAGAGCAGCGGTTCTCTGTTCTGCTCGTTTTAAAGTGAGTCATTTGAGCATCAAAAATATATGACATTCCTTTTCCCTATAAAAGCAATGCAGGAGTGTTCATGAAGAACAGACGTCACTGTGACTTTAATAGATTGTGTGGCGTGCAACAAATCGATTCGCAGACGAGCTTCTGTTGTGTTGTGCCTGATGTTAATGTGATGTATGAAGTTACATGTGTACAGAATAGAATAAAATATCATGAGACTCAGCTGAGTGTTTTTATGTTTTATGCGTCGTCCTGAAGTGTTTGTGCTCAAATCGTGTGTGTTGTTGAGGACTTTATTAAGTGATCAGATGCAGCATTTCACCTGCTGGAGCAGAAAAAAGACGCACAATGAAGGCGGAACCCGAGACGCATCTACAGAACAGAAGATCACGGCAGATGCATTTCACGCCAGACAGGAAGAAAACACATTGCAACCACCCAGAACACCTTAGCAACCTCCTGGCAACCACCATATCACCCAAGGTCTTTTAGGTGGTTGCCGGGAGGTTGCTAAGGTCTTCTGGGTGGTTGCCAGGAGGTTGCTAACAACCTAGAAGACCTTATCAACTTCCTGGCAACCACTCGGCAACACCCTGGCATTGTGGCAGCGACTTTTGCACAGGCAAGTACTGCTTACATTTCCTTTGAAAGTTTTTAAAATATAGTGTAATTTTATAATTTGTTGATTTGACAAATAGCACAAAGCACCACCCCAGAACACATAAGCAACCTCCTGGCAACCACATAGCAACACCCCAGAGGAAACAACCTCCTGACAACCATCCAGAACACCTTAGCAACCTCCTGGCAACCACATAGCAACACCCCAGAGGAAACAACCTCCTGGCAACCACCCATAACACCTTAGCAACCTCCTGACAACCACATAGCAACACCCCAGAGGAAACAACCTCCTGGCAACCACCCATAACACCTTAGAAACCTCCTGGCAACCACATAGCAACACCCCAGAGGAAACAACCTCCTGGCAACCACCCATAACACCTTAGCAACCTCCTGGCAACCAC